AGCAGAGCGGGTACGGACAGCAATACGCCTCTTGGGCTCAGGAGAGCCTGTAAGATCTCTCAGATCTGCACGTGGAGAGCCACTGGGAGAACCTGGGGTTTAAGCAATGTGTAGGGAAGAAATTGTCTCTAACTGTCTATTAAAGGTTTCAGCCAACACAATAATAAATGGATTAGAGCTCCTTATCTTTGTTACTCTGTATTGGACCAATATGCTCCTGGAAAATCCAACCGCTTTCCTAGGAAGACTTTAAATTACCAAAGCATGAGTATCTTCTCACTGTTTTCAAAGAGTAACCAAGGAACGTTGTGTTACGCAGGAATTACTGTGCAGCGGATGGATGACGGCTTGGGTAGGCTTGTGTCATTGCAAGAAAAATATATGTTTTTTTTCTGTGCTTGCAGAGCTGAAAATTCATTGTGGCTTCCTAACACTATTTACCTGATAATCTGTATGCACCTGGAAAAAGTCATTGCTGATATTTATCAATTAAACGAGGTCACTGTAGAACTGCAGAACACTTTCCAAATATTTGTGTCCCTCGAGTTTTAGCTGTTACTTTTTTTTTTTTGACATAGGTACTGGGCTAAACTGTGCAGTGTGTAGAACAGGTTTCTCCCTTTAATGAGAGGCTTAATTATTTCATTTTTTTCTAGAGGTTGTTGCAAAAATTTAACTTCCTGTTAAGTGCTGGATTTTACAATCTAATAAATTGATATAGCAGCATGTAAACAAGCTGTGTAAATATATGTGCAGAGCCGTGCTGTTACAGGGATTTTTTTTTTAACAAAAGAGGAACTTTAACAGAAGTGGTGTTTTCAGGAAATAATTATAATTTGCACAGTGTTATGCATTAGCATGCTAAATGATATCGCAAGGTCTGATTTTACTGTCAGCAGGCTGCATATCTTAAGTACTACGCTTCGCTCAAAACAAAACCCCCCAAATATTTACTGACCTTTGTTGCGACAAAAATCCAGTCGTTAGGCCAGAACATCACATGAATCTGATCAGAAATCCATTAAATGCCCAGTATATCTTTTTATCTAGTCCTTGAAAAAAAAAATCTGTCAAATGGATAAATGCCATTCATGGCCCTGATCCAGCACACCTCTATTTTTACCAGGCTGAATGGTGAGAAGAAACACATGTTTCATTAGTATAAAAGGCTAGGGGGGAGAGTACAGTTGTAGCAGAAACGGTGGTAATATAAATTTCTACCTATTAGGGCCTGTCAGTATTTGCTGCTTCTGTGGGAATAATTTTTGAGGCTGAGTTCTCTCTCCCTCAACATGGAAGCCTTGCGTGCTGGAGGTAATTCATGCGGCGTGTCTGCTCGCTGCCACGTGTGGCCAGAGTGGGTTCCCGTGACAAATCCTGGACACAGCTCTGTGATAGCGCGAGCCCTGACTGCACGTCACTCCACGTCAGGAGTGAAAGCCCCCTATAAAACAGTCAAAAGTGCAGCTAAACCCAGCTGAAGATTTAGCCTTTTCTATAACTGCCATTTCACATCTGATGCTTTTTTAACTACGGATAGTAATATAGGATGACAGATGCGACTCGATACTTCCTCCCGTTCGTGGCACAAAGCCAAAGCTACCTTCAGTGGAAGAACCTAAAAATGACTCTGCAACACCCCAAATGCGAAAAGACTAACTTCGGACATAGCTTACCAAATCGGAAACGTTAGCAGAATGAGGCATGGATATTGAGTAAAAGTATAAATTAGTACAGTTAATTGCCAATACACATTATTAGTTTCTCTGCTGCTCCCCAGGGGGCCAGTTTGCTTACTGAACATTTTCAGGAAAGTTTGCCACATCAAACACAGGGAGACTGTGAGGATGTCTCCCTAGCAGCGGATTGGGGGGAGAAACGCTTCATTAAGAGCAGATTCACTTGTAGAAGGCATCGTTCTGCTATTCCGTGCAGCCATCTTTCCCCAGTGACCTTTCAGACAGATTACTGATAACTCACCTAATGTTATGACAGAGTCAGACTCGATTCTTGGCTTTCCACATCCCTTTAAGCATCCCAGCTAAAGCCTGCAATGAACTAAAGACCGTCTCTCCGCCTACGGAAGCGAGAACGTGAGCGCTGAGTCCAGCTGCTTTGCTGCTCGTCTTCATAACCACGGCAGCTTCCTGGGTGTCAGAAATACGCCTTCTGTGTTCCCCCTTTATAGTGATTTGCCAGGCCTAAGATACTCTTAAAACACATTCTTATTCGCTGTAGATTGAGAATCTAAGAAGTATTCCTTCATTCTCTTTAATTAGAACGAGAACAGAGCCCGATCCGTACAGCCCCTGCTGCCTGCAGGGGTAGTGATGGATCGCACCAGAGGCCCTGAGCAGCCTGAAGTGCAATGTACGGCAGGGGGCGAGGGATGTTGGGGGGTTGCTATACTTAGTTTTTTAAGCAAAGATACTGCAGACTCAGACAAAATTATCTGAAGCATGGGATTAAGCAGAGTTCAAATCAACCCACTCGCAGCACAAGACAAAAAGGACTGGAAGGTCTGGAAAGGGAGGTGTAATGTTTTAAGCTTGGAAAGCAGAAATGCAGAGAGCTGGCACGAGCATTGCACACCCACCCAGACCCTGGCTGCTAACGTGAACTGGACCTGTTGCACAAGTATTTCACCTGCAGCCTTTTCAAATGCAGGTCAAAGTGATCTCAGAAAAGCATAGGCCATTCATTTCCCAGACTGTTACTTCAGCTATGGATAAAGGAATTGCTACCAGGAATGGTTTCAATCCCTCTTATTCAGAAGGGATAAGTCCCTGCAGAGGTAGGGAGAAACTCCACTGAAGCCTGGGTGAAGGATTCACTCTGCAGAAGCTGCGGACAGTCCAACTGCGTAAGGTAAATGAGAAGTGGTTGCTGGTGTCAGTGTGAAAAATGCACATAAGCAGGAGGGTATAAACTGTGTGGCAAGAAGATGATGTACCCTTCATTAAAGTAAACTGAGCCTCTTGCCAGCAGTTCATGATGTGTCCTGGAGAAGAACCAGGGTTAAAAAGGTGGAAAGAATAGAAAAGAAAAGAGGAAAAATGTCCTTGTTAAAATGTCGAGGCTTATCTCTTCACACTGTATTTGATGTTATAACCCTTTCTAAAGGTAACTCATATCGAATTACATTTTAAAAAACAGCAACAGAGTTATGTAATTAGTCCTGGCTTTCTGCAGTAAAAGAAAAACCTTAGAATTCACCCATTTGCAATTAAAGTCTCTCTTTCCAAGCATTGTTAAGTCACTGTGAAGACTATAGGCATGGACACATGGAACTTCTAGTCACCTCGATGCCTTTGCTATCATCATGCCTGAGTATGAGTGCTGATTCTTATTTTGATTTGTGGGGTTTTTTCTCCTTTTCCTTTAGATGAAGGTTTTTATTTCAAGTGCCTGTGCTTTAGTCTTTACCTTCCAACAGACAAAAAAAAAAAATCACAGTTATAGGAAAGTGCTCTAAATATGGTGGAGGTTTTTTAACAGCTATGAGGAAAAGGTGGAAACCAAAATATCCTGGAGGCACTTTCTCCACCCATAGCATGTTTGATAAATTGACTTTTGCTTCCAGAGCAGACATTCAGCTTCTTCATTAGTACAAGGATCCTTAGTCTTCTTATCCCAAACTTGGATAATTTGAATGAAAAATAAATTTCATGAAATGTAGCTATTAATAGTGTCGATAAATGTTGTGATTACATATCACTTACAGTAATGCTATCCCTCTCTACTGTAGATGGAAATATATTTATTCAGCATTCTTAAAATCAAATATCCTTTCTCTTTGCTTGACAAGAACAGTCCAGTGTGTTGTTGAGTATCAAGGTGACTTGAAAATTTTTCTAATGTGTAATCCCCTTTGATATTCTGTATTATGTATGAACTCAAAGACAAAATATCTGCATTAGCTTAAATAAACTAGGTAAAATGTATTTCAAAAAGTTTCTTGAGTCAAAAAGTAGCAAATCATTGTATGTATTTTCCATATTTGTATAGGTTTCATTATATTCTCATTCTAAGTTACTCTTAAGTCTCTTTCATATTTAAAAAATGAACTACACACCTATCATGCAAAATGTAAAGAAGTATGTTCAACTAGTTCAAATTAGATATACAGTAAAAATACACTTCCAAAGAAATATCATTTCCATTTTTGTTCATGTTTTTAACAGAATTTCAGACTAATACATCAAATGTGGAACTGTACAAGTATGTGAAGAAACATTAGGATTGCAGTAGTAAAAAAATGTACAGCATTCAAAACCAACAAGCTCTAAACAACCAAACAATACCACAGGATTGAAACAATCATGGGGACAACATAGGTCATTGGAGCCAGTGAGTGAATCCTAATGCACCTACATAAAGACCCTACATAGAATATTGTCTCTTATTTATATGCAAAATCCCTGATTTGATTAAACCAGACAATTTCTCTAATTGTCTCTTATAGGTTTTAGATAAGATTAACACGAGAGTATTCCCCTTCGTAAATGTCAGTTATTTGAAAAGGCAATATTGAGAATTGGTTTGAAAGGTATTTCCATCCATGTGGATTCAGGTAGTTAAAAGACAAGATCACAAATAATAGCACTGCGATTTTAAAGAACCATTTGAATTGTTATCCGCTACATTTGCCATAACATTTAAGAATTCAGGATTCAGTTTTTAAAAACTGTTTACAGGTTAATACACAGGGTTTTAAATTATGGGTTGTATCCATCATTTAACAGTGGACCAACATTGCCTTTTAAATCAAGAAAAGATCCAGCTAAGCATGTAAAAAAAAAATAAAATCTCCAAGGACAATGAACAAAACATTACATACAGCAGAATCTCTGTGTCTGAGTATCTTTGAAAGGCAGATATGTTCTCTTTTACAGTCCACTAACCAGCACAATTTCCTTATTAGACATTTATAGTATGAGGAAAAAAAATGTCTTGAACAAACCTGTAGCAGTTATTAATTCAACCCAAATTATCTTTTCTGATGTTTCATCATTGTGCATAAACTTAATGAACTATGCTAGCCTATTGGGTTTAGTGACCAGAACGTAATCCCTTTCACAGATCTTAGCTAGTTATGATTTTTTTAGGACTATCTTGCTTTTCAGATAACTCACCTGTGGGTTTTTTTAAGCTGAAGTGTAAAAAAAATGTTAATAAATGACCTAATTATGTCAGCATTTCTATCCCACAGTCCTCGTGCTCTGAGATCTCTCACTGATCTTGATAGGAATTTGGCTTGCACAAAAATGGCAAATTTTCAGCTGAGAAAGCTGAATAAATGTAGCGCTTTTAAAACCAAAACATTGTTAACAAAGAGCCTGGGCTACTAAATCATCTTCGATGCACGGAAAAGGGCAAAGAACACAAATCTTGGCACCTATCTTGCTGTTTATTTGGAATGATCTTTTAGCAGGTTTGATCCAATGGGAAGGATGGATTAGAGAGCTATCCACATACAACCTAACATTTGTCTGAAATAAACTGATTGTAACGGGTTTGAAAAGGAACAACCATATGCATCGTATGTACCACTCAAAATCTATAAAACTACTGGGCAAACAGCATTGTGTATACTCGTTCTTATACATATTTAAACTTTGCTGAGGTATTTCTTTAATTACAGAAAAGCATTTTTAAAAACAATAGGAAAAAAACTCAAAATATGAGTGATATTCTGCACATATTTTTGGGGGGAGAAGGAATTCAACTGGATTGAAAGGTCCATATTCATTAAAGGAGTAACCACTTTTATTCGCATCCATACTAATCGTATTCTTCCTTGGCTTTTTATTCCTTCAAAGCGTTAGAAAAAACGTAAGGCTGTGACTTTATAAAACATAATTTTGCCTCGACTTTGCCCACCAGTGTTGTAAAATAACCTGAAATACTTCTGTCTTTTTCCTAGGGAAAACATTACCCCGCGTCCACCTCTGTAATGGGCTGACTGTGGCCACAGAGCTGTCAGATACCCCGCTTGCCCCCTCCAGGAAAGGGGACAAGCCATCTCTTGCACAAAAGCAAGATTGTTTTCAGAAATGCTAGCTGAAGTCAAGTTTCTTACACGCAGCAAAGTTAAGGATAGTTCTTCTGGTTTAATTTTAACATTAACTGGTAACTTCTACCTGCAACTAGCAGTTATTTATTTCTCTACAATGCAGATACCTAGACTGTTGTACAAGCTGGATGTCTCACCATATATATATATATACTTCAGGAACAGGAAGAATGTATACATCATATTTAGAGTTTATCCTAGGCAGATACTGTGCTTGCAGTGCAGTTTTCTAATCCTTTTAAATACAATCAGCCTATCTTGATTGTGACACTAATGTTAAATGTAACTGCAGCCATTACCAAGTAGTTTCCATAAGTGGTTTTATTACTGGTTAGATTTTACAAATTCTGGTATTCGAACAGACTTCGACCTTAAAATTCTAAAACAACAAAGCAACCAATGAAAGGCTTAGGACTATTCAAAGTAACAAACTCTTAACATTTTTGCCCTGGTCATAAATATACAGAGAGAAAAAGAGAGAAGTGGACATGGAATCCAAAGAATGTAGATAAAACAGTATATAAGGCACATGGCAGTCTTTGAAAATACAGAAGCTTTAGCCAACTTAAATTAATTGCTGTTTCCCTTGCTCAGTCCACAAAACTGTACAGTTACACAAATGTTGTGTTGCAATAGATCTTCCAAGTTATTCTTCAGTCCGTACTCCGTAATACCAGAACACTACATTTCCTTCTGTTTTTTAGGAGAGATCCTAATTGTGGTTAGTCAGTTGCTCAAAGCCTCTATTAAAATACACTTGGAATTTCAGCTAAGAATAATTTCTTTTTTAAAGAAATTATTAAGAAAGAGTCATCAGAAAAGATTTGTAAGAGTTGTCTGTGAAGGACTTCGAGATTCATGAACCTCAAGACTTCCGGGCACTGATGTCAAGACAGATGTCACAGTAGGCATAGTAGGATTAGTCAAGTCCGTTAAAGTAGTGGGAGTGCTGGATGGACTCATGGAGGCATTGGATATTTCTGAGGCAGGACCTGATGGGGTCCCTGCTTGGAGTGTTGAGTCTGAAGTCTTATCCACCCCTGTGTTTTCTTGACGTAAGAGGTTCCGTCTGAATTTGGCTCGAGCATTTTGAAACCAAACCTGAAATAGTTTAATATAACAGGGTAGCATTTAAAGAGCTGCAGTGTTTAAAAAAGCAAAAGCATACTCACAAATTCACCAACACTTGTATTGGGGAAGTTGTTTTTACTGATAACATGTTAGAAAAGTAGCCCCAGCCATGAGAAGTGTCCTGTGCATGCCTGCAAAGCATTCCTCTTCCCCTTTCCTGCCATCCTGGACAAACAGCCTGCCTGGGACAGGAGTGGACTAAGGATGGAGGAGGGCAGTCTTTCTGTGCAGGCTATGTGCAAAGATGCTTAGAAATTGGGCAGCCTGCACGAATCCTCGATTGCCCTCAGTCCCAGGGGTATTTGTCTGGGTGAAGCAGGCATCAAACATCTGATGAATATAAAATAAGGAGTTTCGGCACCCTCGTGCCACAAGTCCATCTCCCATTGTCAGCAGCAGGTGACAGAGCAGAGCACCCTGCCTCTCTGTGGGCCCTGGAGCTCTCCCAGCAACCTTCTCACGTCTCAGTGCCTGCAATGCTCTCACTGTTCTAAAAGGACTGTCCCTCTTTCTTACTCTTCTCTTACTCTTCTTTCTCAAATGCTTCAGCTCCTTTCTCCTATGCCAATCTCCTTTTCAAATGTTTTCAGTACTGGAATGATGTTGGGAAAAGAGGCTTGAATGGTATTAAAGACCCACACTGCATTAAAAACTATCATTTCAGTAGAAATTATATCCACATACAGAAATGCTTCCAATATTGCTACTTCTTGCATTATTTGGTTATTATCTCTGAGTGAAGGACAAAAGCTATGACTTCATCTTTCTCAGTTACATTTCGGTGTTTAGGTCCAAGTCAATAATGCTTCCCACTGTCTGCAGGATTTGTTTAAAGAGAAAATATTTTTCTGACCTATTTGAAAATAGATAAAATAGAATCTGTGAAACTTGCAGGAAACCTAGGTACAGCATATTACTTCGACTAATTTGAAAATGTTGTTAAATACCCTGTGTTCAGTGTTGATACCAGGTAATTTTACTGCTACAAACTAGCTGAAATTTCACTGTGCTTATTTATCAGAAGGCCTCTGCCATTGTTACGTTCTTTACAATGGACTCAGTCTTGATCCTACTGTCCTCACGTTGCCCTGCTACAAGGAATAGGGCCGAGTCTCTCCATCCTGGATGCAGTGAGCCTCATCACCTCTGTATCTCTCGGAGGATGGAACCAAGTGAGCGGAAGGATCTGCACGGCCGTACAGTATCTCCACCAGGTTTCTCCTCTGTGGCCTGTACAAGGAAGCTGAGTGCGTGGATCTCAGGAGGCCACACCAACCTGCACAGAAGTTCTGACCTCTAACTCTGAAGCAGCACGGCCCCTGCCGCAGGGTCCGCGCGAAGCCAGGCGCCAGCCGAGGAGCGCCAGGTACGCAGGACGGGCTGTAAGGATCTCCGTGCACGCCCAGCCTGCAGCTGCAGTTAGAACTGATGAACACGTCTCGGTTTTCCTCTGACTGGTTTTCTTCTCATCTATGGATGCTCCAGCCCCAAATTCCCCTTATTGAGCACTTCTACTTTTTCTCTGGAAAGCTTTCTCCCTCAACCAAGGGTCTTTAAGGTTCACACCCTCTCTCCAGGGAATGCCCCAAGGAAATAATCCTCAGGCACAAAGTCGAGCAGTGGCCATAGGAGCTGCATTCATGGGCCATGCATACATCACATCCCTACAGGTCCTTGTTTCTGAAAGCTCAGTATTTTAAAACAGTTTGTGTTGTCATTCCCTTTGTTAAAACACTTAGTTTAAAGGCTATTTATCAGTTTCATATACAAGAAAACAAAAATTTCTTCCTAAACTAGCACGGGTGAAAATAATCTCGTGATTTTATAACATAGTCCATTATAGTGGTAAACCCGTTAAAGGCCAGCGATGGATCAAAAGGAGGCAAAACCAAAGGGGCTATTTTTGCCTGCCCCATTCACACCCAGCGTCCTGCTCGCTCAGCACCACGCCAGGAGGGAGGCGCAGAGTGTGCGCGGGGCCCGAGCCAGGCGGGGACCCTCGTGTGCGGGGGATGCGAGTGAAGCAAATCACTTCTGGTCATCCAAGCCGCAAAGTCTCAAGGACCAGCTAGTTAGGAATGGTGAAAAACAGCAATTAGAGCATTTTGGGGGATTTTTTTACCTTTCAGTAAGAGATAATTTATATTTGTCCCACAAAGGAATTTGGTTTTGATTTTTTTAATACGCCTCCTAGCAGCTGTAACAAGGATAATACACGTGAAGGTGAAATGGAAGTTTAGAGACTGCCACTGTTGATAGGTATGTATACCATAGTTTGGTAATAATTATAGCAGACAAAAGAACTAGTCCAGTTGCAGATACACATACTTCTGTGTAATTTCACACTTACGTCCATTAAAAATATACATATTTTTATAACCAGCAGTCCCAAATATGAGTAGCATTTCCATTCCTATTCACAAAACTATCTTCTCGTTTAAAGTGTGTAAAACTGTAGAAGGCACCATAACTATTTTATTTATGTTGTTCCTAAACATCCAACTGCTCCTTAACTTTAACAGGCCCAGAGGAGACTCTACGGTATTTTTTTCTGTTTCTGATTTGAAACATGTAGCATGTAAAGAAAAGTGAGCAAGATTGTTGGTGTTTATGTATTCCCCTTCATCTTCCATTAAATATGAAGACCTGTGCTCAGCTGACCAGCCATGCTGCTTTCAGGAGCTGCACATGTAACGTGGGTCATTCTCTCTTTAATAGAGGCAGCTCACGTTAGACATAGAAAATATTACATGATCTTGTAAGTAGTATTCAAAAGGAGATTATGTGACTACTTTTGCTTCCTTCCTCACTGAGAAAGTGTCAAGGTTAATCAGCTAATGGTTATAAAGCTCTTTAAAACTGTCCAATAATAAACATTCATATTACTGAAAAGATATCTAAATATTTGTTAACTGACATTCTGAAAATACCTTGTCTTACGACAGAAAGGGATAACGTAATTATCGCAATAGCGATATTCTGCTATGCACTTCAGTGAAGTCCACAGTAGCGAAAGAATTACAACTATTGTTTTCTGAGCTGTGGGCATGCAGGCCTGCTTCCCTCCTGCCCCGGGTCGTTCCTCACGGCTCTGCAAAGCACGTGGAAGCGCTGGCAAGGCAGGGCTGCCCGTGCGTAATGGCAGTCGAGCTGTATGCTCACATTGGCAAGTCAGGCCCTGCACCTGTAACGGTATTACAGTACAGAAATAACCCAAACATACATAACTGAAAGAATTGTTCCAGAAGGACCTATCTCACATCAATTACACAATTAGGAATCTGGTCTTCAGTACTGAGGAATAAACAAAATCATTGGGAAGTATTTCGTGTTTTTCTGTCCAACTGTATCATTCTAAGGCTGAGCTATTTTGAATCGAAGGGGAAAATACGGACCAAAACTCCCACTGAAAAATAAAAGCAGCTGCGAGCCCCACCACTGATGTTACCACAGTCTGGTTAGTGGGGCTGGATGCCTGTAGCTGGGCAGCTCAGCAGCTAGGCAGAGGAATATTTACTGCAGTTAAAATATTACACTATCTCTTCAGCGATTTGTGCCGCTAACTTTGTCTCCATCAAGTAAAATAGGAATAAAAGAACATCTCCATATGATAGGGAAGCATTGAAAAGCAATACGCTAAATATTGTAAAGGATTTGGATACTGCAGTGAATGAGATCACCTAATCACCTCAGATAACTTCCTTTTCTTGTCCGTAACACCTCCATTGTTGCACCTGACATATATTGGTTGTATCAATAGCTTGTGCTAGAAACAAGTTTTTAAACGCAATTTTGCTCATTCACACAGCTACCCGGAGACATTCCTGAATTTTACTAACTGGTAAGCGGAGAAACAAAACTATAAAGGATGTTGCACCACAAAGCAAACTACGTTCCCTCATTGCACACACATTCTGATTACTCTATCGTAATTAGTAAATACACAGTTAAAGGGGAACTCTGGGGTATTTTATGACTGGAGGTTTAGTAAAGAGTCAGCAGCGTGCTAGCCTAAAGCAAATCTTCACTGAAATGGAGCGCGGGGTACCCACGCATGGTTGTGAAAATTTTCATACCTGTTGACAAGCGGAAACTGAATTAGCAAGGTCCAAATGCATGCAGTGGTCTTTGTAGGGTTTTCATAGCAACTTCTCTGGGGAGTGATTGAAGAACAAGCAGTGTACAAGACACCCACTGAACAATAATGCTTTATGTTTCTAAACTGCTTTTGCCATGGGTAATCATATGCCAGACGGCTGGGGAGAGCAGAGGTACGTACCTATAGCTAGCAAACCATATCTTCTTTGGGCTATCTACTTCCACCTTCCCTTACTAAACTCACAAAAAGAAAGATCAGTTCCCAAAAGAGGAACATTGATGCCAGTTAGTTAGCTCACAATTAGCTGGTCATTTTAATTATGAATGATAGCTTACAATAATGGGCTTGTGTTCCCCAGCTGCAGTACAAGAGGTATATTAAATTGCAAATATAAAGTTAAATTGCAATGAAAATAAATAAAACTAGGGGTTAAAAATATAAGTAGGTTTACTGTGATTCCAATGTGGCTACTTATGGAAAATAGTCTGCATTACAAGGCCACTGAAGGAAGTGTAATTTATGAAGCATTTCCATGCCATCCCACTTCTGGACACGTGTGGCTGATGACTAGTTGTATATAAAGCAAAGACAGAAGTCAGGTCTTCCAAATCCACTATCACAGGCCATTAAGAATGTGGTCAAAGTCGCTGTACTAAGGATCCTCATTATGTGCTGTGGGAATGTCTATATAGTGAGGGCACTTTAGCTGTTTCCTAAATCCCTAGAAACTCTGCTTTGTGTGTTTAGGAACTACACTGGCTTCACAACAAGAGGATCTGCTTCTCCTGATCTGCTGCCTTGCATTTTCTATTAAAATATAACCTATAAATATATCCTATTAATGGTATACAGAGAGCCACAATCCCTCATCAGCTGAACTGAGATCTGAATGTACAGAAAATACACCACCTTACAAATATGCCTAGTAAAGACATAGGAAGATTGCTTACTACTGGTTAAGTGTGCACGTACGCCTGGGAGGCCACGCACCTTCGGTGTGTAAGACAAATACTAATAACGCTCGTTCAGATCAATAGTGGCAGGGAATTACTTCGTATTCAATAAATGACAGATGGAATGCCAACCCTTCTGGCTCAAAAGAATTAATAAGTGACACTATCTCAGTAACCAACATCATAAAGAGTTTTCCTCGGCAAAGAGCAACCCTGAAACTCATATAGGTGAACTTCAGTGTTTGAAAAATTGCCTCTCACAGGTTAGAGATAAACCAATTGGGCACAAAGGTTCTAAATATTTTTTTAATGGATTTTTAATGACCCAAATTAATTTTCAAACAAAAAGTTCAATAGTATGGAGTAGAGTGCTCATAACAGACAGGAAAACTCAAGTGATAGTAGACTAAGTATCACACCGAGCCATTTTCTTGAATTGCCTCCAACAGCATCATCCTCTGGGTGCAATCCCCACCACCAACTATTACCTTCCACCACTCTTCAGCTAAAGGAGCCCAGACATAAAGGAGTATTTAACTGTGAAAGTAAAAGAAGTGAAACACAAATTACCAGAATGATAAAAAATATTTAGTCGAATTCTAAGGGTCTGCCACAAAAAAAAAGAGGAACCACTAAGCACCTTAAAACTGCAAGAGGTGAGATGTTAAAGATGGAAACAGAAGCAGTGAAGAAAGTGAAAGAGGAACTGAAGTGTAATGGAGATGTGTACTCAAATTTTGGATACAGGGACATACATTCTGAAAAGGAAGGAAGAAATAGAGACATAACTTGGAAAAAAGATGGAGGAAAAGACCCAATAAGTGAAAAGAGGAGAGAGATGGAAGTCAAAGTTGGTGTGGAGAGAGGAGAGAGGATGATCAAGAAAAAGACACTTTCTAGACACTTCTCTTGTTTCGTAATGCACCATATGAAATTTCTCAGATAATTCAGGTGTGAGTACACTGTAATGGACAGAACAAATATTATTGAAGTGTCTAAACTCTGAGGGTAAAATAAAGAAGTCTCAAAATAAGGATAGACAAATGCAGTAAATTAATTCGCCCATGTGCATGGATAGAGGAGAGCTGCTCTGAGAGACGCTACATGGAGTGTGAGGATGTGCGCTAGTTATATCGAAGGAATCTGTTCCACCACCACAAATCAGCCTTATAAAAACAAACAAAAAAAAAATTGTCTATGGAGGACGTAGCCAAGAGAATTAATTATGTACGTTTTTTCATTAGTTTTTACTGGGAAGCTGACAAAACCTTGATTCCTTCTTCTGTTAGGTATTAACACTGTAAGGTCTAGAATCCCTCCAGTGAATTCAGTTTTTCCTCAATATTTTTTGTCTACTGGCCTCCACTTGCCTGTGAATTTGCGAGAGCTGTGCACGATGCTTTCCCAGGAGTCTGCCTCTGAGCCCTACCTCTCTATGAAGCTCACAAACCATTTTGCTGCAATTAAGACCCATTTAAAAATTTCAGCAATGGCTCCTGGAATGCCATGGCTCCTATATACCCAAATTTATCTCTAGGTATAGTTATTTGGATAAGTGCCCATTAAAACTGACTCCTTGAATCGGAACTATAAAATAAATTGGAGCTGAATCAACTAACACTCTCACCTTTGCTTCCCATAATAGTTTAAACAGAGCGTATATCCGTGAAGCAAGAAAAATCCATCTTTCAGAGAAAAAGTACATTTAAAATGCAGTTTTCTTTCATTCTAACTTACTAAACTATGAGTAAAAAAAAAAAAAAAAAATCTTTGGAAAATTTATGTCCACTTCAATTACGAAAGAAAAGATATCCTCCTTGTCCTGATGAAATAAATTCAAACTGCTGATTAATTTCTTATGAAGGTAAACATTCACAGTAATTTCTCAATTAAGAGCTCTCTATTTACAGTGAACACACTAAAATAATTCACTCTTCCCTACAGCAGATTGAAAGCTAAAACATGCACCAGAATTAACTGACTACAGGAAAACAAGCAGGGCCCCAAACCTTCACAACTGTCATTAAAAATTAGAACCCAAGTGATCTGCTTTTGGGAAACTGAAAAGAAAGAACTTTTCTCATGCGTTCTAGGATTTAACTGAACTCTCACAGAAGGTATGAACAACTAGAAGAGCTTGAAAAATCAGCAAAATCCATGTCATTTTAATTAAAAAAAATGGTATTTCATTTACTTTTCAAGACAAAAGGCTGCTCTTCTTACCTGAAGAACTCTTTTGGTCAGGCCGGTTTTCTGAGCTAGCTGTTTCAAGTCCTTGGCATCAGGATTGTGGTTAATAGCAAAGTATGACTTCATTGTCCGCAACTGGTGGTGTTTGAATGATGTCCTCATGCGCTTTGTTTTTTGATTGCTGGGGTATTGCTGGTCTCTATCCAGGTGGTCACCATCGTTTTCATTGCAACTTAAAGCTTAAGGCAACAAGAGGAAAAGGCGTGTAAATCTATTGCTCTGTGACCAACATTGTTTGCAGTTCATCTGAGTGCAGCAATTAAAATAACATACCACGGCATGCATTGTACTGGTACAAATCCTACTTGCCTTCCCCTCCATTTCTGCATCTCCTATTTTTCCCTCACAATAACCAGCCTGCAAGGACCCTCACCTGCCTCTTTATGGCTTTTAAAATGTCAGGTCTGTTTCCTTTTTTCTTCCCTCCATCTCCACACAGCCTTTCCTCCACTTTCTGCTTGTAGGACAGTAGCTGTCCTCAACTCTGTAAAGTGTTTTAATGTACTTTGTATCACTATAAATTGCATTGTAACGTACAAAGCAAGCTGTACAATACAGTCCACTTAAATCTCGATGGAACAGACCAGTTAAAATTATAATTATTTCCTCCATCAAACTAAACCCTGTAGAGTACAAGAGAGACCATTAAATGAAACGCTGTAAAAGAAATAAAGTTTGTGGGTACCAGACAGCAAATTATGACTATAATTGGACTAGCTAAAGAAATAAAGCTGTTAATACAATGTATCACTAGCATGCCAAATTAAAAAAAAAATATTTTAAATAATTTATATGTTTGTATTTCCTTTTTTAAAAAAGTATTTGCGATTACTAGTTTGAATGATCAAATCTGTTATCTCCTTTTGAAATCACTGAATGATGCTGATTGATACACTTGCATAAATCAACTATAAAGCCCATAAAGGAAGTCTATGAGCAAGGCACATTATAATAATTATCAAGTAGTATTAAATGTTGAACGCCAACCAAAATAATCGCATAGACCAAAATGAGTTTTTCATTTATTTGTACATACGGTGAGCCATAGAAAAACTCTTAAAAAAACATTAAGGACTGAGCTTAAATCCACTAAATAAATCAGGGCTATAACTGAAAATTAGCTCTGACAAACTGTTATTATTTTGCTTTTGCTGTTCCAGTATCTACAACTCCCTTTTAACTTCCTAGAAGTTTTATGTTAAAAGTAATGAAAAATCACTACTTTCTCCATTCTATGTTGCGTGCAAAAAATGAGAAAAAAAATGTATTTTAAAATGGGAATTATTGGGAAATTTCTCAAACACATGAACAGATTTGTTTTCAGTTGTCCATTATTGCTGGTTTGTTACAGTTGAGTACATCTCATAGACGTGTCTTTATAGTCTCACTCTAAATCCATGCTAGCCATCAGAGGTTTTCAGCCCTAGTGAAAACATACAATTCTCAAAGGCATGCATTAAAAGCAACTTTTAAAAAATATACATAAAATGCATGTACTCATAAGTAGAAATACATACAGATTCTATAAACAGCAGGTTTGCAGCACGTTCAGTAGCTGCTTTGCAAACTTCTGCTTTTCAAAACCTTCTAAAAAAGACATGACACAATATAGAGCAAGGCCTCCAAAAATCCAGCTTTAAGACCAAAAGCATGTTTGTTTAATAGATACGTAGGAAGTGTCCAAAGCCTCAATTTTGTCTGCGTGTTTCTGTACTCCTATAATTCAAAAATCAGCTTAAAAAAATTTTTACTGTATATATAAATGTGTGTATGTGTGCGTGTGTGCGTGCGTGTGCGTCCGTTTGTATAAATCCTTTCCAGACCCAAGCATCTTGTGCCAAATTCTAGCAATAAGAAGCATTTCTGCTTGTTTTCCTGCGGCGTGGAAAGACTGGAAGCACCTGAATTTAAAAGGTGTAAGATGCTTAAAAGGAGACAGTAAAAATGCAGTATTAATGGAGCTGGGTGGAATGTAGCAAAATCTTTTCTGGGTTAAGAACTGAGGTCTAGTTGCCAAACTGGGGTCATCCCATGTGCTCCAGCCTCCTTCACAGCTACAGTTCCTGACGTAAAGAATACTGGGATGAATAACTGAAACTACATTGCTCAAAGCAAATTCTGTTATGGAAATGTAAAACCAAGCAGTGCTCGCTTTTAACATGTACTCGCAGAGTTGTAGATATTGGTAATGGAAAAGACCTCTGTGTGTTATCTTAAATGCTTTCAAACCCTCCCAGAAATAACAAGGCAGAGACTTAGGAGGAAATGCATTAAAATATCTGTCTGAAGGACTGAGGTCTGTTCATGTTAATATGCAACAAAACAAACCCCAGGGCTGTAAGTAGTTGGATTTTAACCTGTTCCACAGAGAGAGATACATTCAGGATCCAAGGAAATCAAAGTGATTCTAAATCCTCCCAGAATGGAAGGAGGGTATCAGCTTTCCATCAAGCCCTGATAGGACAATGAACAAGTTACTCTTTGAATTTTTCATAATTTTACCTCCCCAACTACTAAATAAAAATAATATTAAAATGACAGTAAATATGCACCATTTGAGACTAGGAAAATACTGTCTTCTATGAAGAAAGTTATAGAACAGATCTTGAAAGTGCACAAGGGTGTCTGCTGTTTTGTTGTCTTGCACAAGTGGTTTGGGTTCCCCCAGGCATCACCCGACATGACATAAATATTCCCAGTTAGTGACAATTCCCCTCCTGTATTTGGTTGTGGCGCCCAGCACCATCTTCAGAAGTATATTAGCTCTAACATTATACACATCTCTCACAGGATCTGAAATGTCTCTGGGCGTTGCAGGCGCAGAATGGGCCAAGGCTGTAAGCATGGGGAGATTTTTAAGACCTAGGAGTTTCTGCAAAAGGCATCATGGTGTAAGACTAACACTGTACATGCTCCTCACGCAACCCTCTGCTTTTCAGGCACTTCCTCCCTGTTCCTCTGTGGCGTCCCTGTGTAACTCCCCAAGGAATTGTTGAACTATCCATACATAAGATTTCCCTTCGGTCGCAGCATCTAGGGCTCCTGCTGGGAGTTCAGAAACACTATTGGTAAAATTCCAGTCGAATAGAGAAGTCTTAGATTAACGAATGTTTCATTCCTATTTTGTGATAAAACAAATTCTGAAGTGGTGCCAAGTCTCCTTCTTGACCCTAGAACATTTCCAAGGCCCTTGCGCCTTCCCCGCAGCCCCCACATCCAGGCCATCGCCCTCCTGTCCTTCGGCCGGGCCCGGCAGCTCTTACCGCCTCCTCCATTAGCACCGCGGCTCGCATGTCCACTCGGCCACAAGATGGTGATGTCCACAGAGAGCATCACTAGGAACTAAGATTAAAACATCATGTTTTGATATTGGTGACCAAAATATCCTCTGCAGAACAAGGCATAACGCCGTCCCTAAAACCAGCACCACCAGTGCAGAGCTGGATGGGCTGTTACCTTTGTAACAAACACCATTTGAAGAAGAAAACTTGGGAGCACTGTTTCACACCCAGATCCCCCCACATGTCAGGACTCAGGGCAAAGCATGTGTTAGTAGTTAGGAGGTCGCTAAGTACACGGCACATGAAGAAGATGGGGAAGAGGAATTTCCTTTGGGGGAACTTTTGTTCTCAGTAGCTTGTGTTTGACATGTTAAATTACCCCAAAAGAAAGCAAACTAATCCTGATTCTGAAAGAATGATGAAACAAGAGACACATTTGGTGCATGCATCAGCTCTCCATATTCAGTGGCTCAGGAACATACACCCCTTTCCTTCTGCAGTAAGAGTCAAGGGGGTGTTTTAACCTTCTGCTGCCTGGAGAGGGAACTTGTGATTAACTAGAGGAGGCAGGGGTGCAGTCTGATTTGTTGTTTGGCAGGAGTGTGTAAAGGAGTACCGCATCCTTGAAGGGGACAAAAGTGAGACAGAGCCCTCAGAAGGGTTCTCGGGACAGGGACAGAGATAGTCTTTCTCCCCGGTGGAAGGAGAAGACACTCGGAGAAGGCAGACGCCTGAACTCCTCACCAGAACCGGGATGAAAGGGGGAGAAGCAGCGGCACTTGGAGCAGACGGGGTGCCCCTCGCTGCTTCTGAGGCGCCTGGCAGCGCCGAGAGGAGGGTGCCCCCGCCAAGCCCTCGGAGCGACAGACGCAGAAAGCGCTGCCTCAACCTGCAAATTTCAAGAGGTGTTTCTAGGGAGATAAAGCCTGTCTTAAGCAGCGACTCTCTTCCAGGCTGAGCATCACAAGGCCACGGGAGAGGAGAGCTGGGATTAGAAACCCTCTCTCCTCCGGCCTGCCTCTGTGCCTGGGACAAAAGGGCTGCGTGTCCCCGCTGCCTCCCGGCCCCCCCGCGGCCGCGGTGCCTCCGCGGGGAGAGAGC